ACCCATTTAATCAAACCTAATATTATAGAAATAAATCTTCCCATCAGTTGTGTGACTTTGCCTGGCTGGAGAAACCTTTGGGATGGTGATTGGGAGGCATGGAAGTTCTAACTTGGAAGGGATCTTTTTAAGCACTCTCCTAACTCATAACTTCCTTTTCTTTAACTTCATTGGCCAGTGAAGGAGGGAAATATTGGTGCCCTTTTGCCTCTCTTTGTTTTCTTACAACCATTTTAGGAAACTTAGTGTCAATAGACTTCTCAGGTTTTGTTCCTCTGATCTAGAGGACTGGACTACTTATAGCTATACAGACCTGGTCAGAACCATTGGGTGAACCAGCAGCAATATACAGACCACTAGCCCCTGTCTCTGAAACTGCTTCTAAAACCTCAAAGCCTGAATCAAATGACCATTGTACTAGCCTCATATTGGGGCTCAGAATGTCAGTTTTCAGCTTGTCCTTATATATAAATATAGGTCTCTCTAGATATAAAAAGTGAGAGAGTCTGTAAGTTGCTTTTTTTTTCTATACCCCCTTTCATGGGAAAAGCTAATGAGATGCATATCATTAAAGGCCTGATGTTTTGTGGGATGGAGCCTTTTAAACTGGATGTGCCTGGCTTAGTTATGGCAAATATTTACCAAAAAAAAAAAAAAAGGGACATACCATATAAAATTAGAGTTCTGAAAATAGTACTGAGAGAAGGAGAAAGAAAAAAAAAAAACCAGGACAGAAAATACAGGCCAGTCTGTTTGGGGAAAAGGGAAAAAGAGATAAAATGAGAGAAACCTCGGCAGTAAAAACAGCATCTTGGTAAACAGACTATAAAAAAAATTGTGACCTGCTTTCTGGCAGGCTTGGCGACTGTCGAGCGGGTAAAGGTGGCGGAGCTGGCGTCTGTGTGGACACACGGTGCCCGGGGCGCACGGCTCCCCTGGCCGCGCAGGGCGTTAAATTTAGCCACATAATGATGGGCCTGACGAGCAGCCTCTTGTTGACCACACCATAATTACTGCTTCGCTTTATGAATTTTATTTTGCTTATTCTGTTTCCTCCTCCTTTGGCATGAAGGAGACTTGGAGTGGGGGGAGTCCCGCCCCCACATCCCTCCCCTTACTGGACAAATTAGTCTTCATAGAAACTTGGGCTCTTGGACTATGAGGGTAAAGGGTATGCTTCCTTGATTAATCAGAGAAGGAGGAAGGTTTGCTGGTCCCCAGAGCTCTTGATTTATCATAGTAAAGTCATAAGTGGGACTTAGTAGCCCTACTTCTCAGAGTTCTTGAAGAAAATGTCCTGAAGTCTTTGGTCTTAGAAGGTAGGTTAACATGAGTCTGAGAGGTTGAGACTTTTATTCTGTTTATACCCTCAAGAGCTGGGCTCCCAGCTGCTATTGGATTTTTTTATCTTTGGTCTTAAATTTCCTAGCTAACTTAGAAGTTTAGTTTTGACATTCTGCATCATGAATAGGTGTTATGTTTTATATTTTAGTCTTGATGATAACTGAGTTCACAAAGCTGAGCATCTAATGTAATCAAGTGACTCTGTTCAGATAATGTAAAAATACTGTTCAGAATATTCTGTTGAAACCTCGAATATTGTTCTTAATGGGTACTTGGCTAGATGCTGTTCTTCTTGGATTTAATTTGCTAGAGCATGGCCTTTGTTTGCGTAGTATTGTGAGGCTTAACGTTACCTACACCTCTACAGAAGGGGCCATAAGCCCTTACTCTCAGACTGAACCATATTGGGAAGAGAAAGTAGGTTGTAGAAAGAGCATTAGAAGAGTTGTATGGACTAGGTACCGGGTCATTGGGGGTGAAGTTCTTGAAGGGTGACCTAGGCTGACAGCTACCTATGGCCCCACAGTGGCCCTCGAACTGAGGAAGTGGTGGAAAAGAAAAAGCAAACAGGGGTTGTGGTCAGGGTACTGACTTGTCAGTCATTGGCTAGGACTGTCCTATTTGTGTGTTGGGGGTGGTTGGGCTCCTCCCGAGGCCAGGCAAGAACGTGTCAAGGAGAGCTTCTTGCAGCTCTTGTTTTCCCAAAACAAAGGAAACTCCTTGCATTGCTGGAAGTCGCGTGCTTGGATGCTGAGTTTGTTATTGCCTGATAACCTGGCCACCAACTCCTGCCCTCCTCTTCACCCCATACAGTCAGTGGCTTAGTAGGAGCAGCTTCCTGTTCCTCCTCCAAGGCAGCAGATTCACTCTCTATTGTACCCAGAATGGGGAAAAAAGAGGAGAGGTAGCCCTCCTACTTCCAGACTTATCCTCTTTTCTTCTAGAAACTTTCTAGGTCAGTACTTTTCAAAGTAATCTGACACATAGTCTTGCTGTGCATAACTCATATGCAAACATGTACCATGTGTGCTGTACCATACAAGTTCAATAATACTGAAACGTTTTATATCTTGTTCACTGAGATAAGTCCTCTGAACACATGTTTGGATGTTCTGGTAATGTCAAAATGCTATAAAAGTTTTTAAATGCTTATACTAAATATCTATACTTATCTCATCATGGGCTTGTTATAGAGAGTTCGCAGACCAACACCAGTTTGCTGATCATACTTTGAATAGCATGTTCTAGAACCTTAAGACCAAGTGAGTTGAGCTATTTCCTGTTGGATATTGAGGTTCTACTTTAGACCTGTTCAGTGAAGATGAATAGAAAGAGGAGTTCTTAAGAAAATTTGAGGTAGTAAGAAGATCTCAATTGCCAAGTCTTGCTAAAGAGCTCTGACACTGAGGTAGAAGGTTGGACTAAAGATTTCCTTAGTGACAAGGTTCTTTTATTCTAAAGTTAAATGGTGAAACTAAGAGATAACATTAATGACCATGATGGTTCTCCTGTAGGGTATTGATTCTAAACCTTAAACTACAACTCTTGAGGTCTTTATGAGATAAGGAAGAAAGAAAGGGAATGGATGTTTTCATTGACTTCATTTGCAGTTTATTATTATCATCTAGATATGACATCTTTCTTATGCAGATTGATCACCTATTTGGTCCATATTATCTTAGTCTTCTGTTAGGAGGCTACCAAATTGTTTCTAGAGGTTGAGAGAGCTCAGATTGAGGACAAAAGTTAATGTTGGCAGACTTGATGGAATTCAAGTAAGAGGGCCTTGGATTAGAAATGTGGATTATTGACAAGGTTACTTTACATCCATACTTAGAGATGCTGGTGAGGGGATAGCATTCAAGAATGGAGACTAAAACACTAGGTCAGTAGGACTGCTGGTTGGAAAGGACTTACCACATAGTCAAAGGTTTTTCTTTGCTAGAGACAGAGGAGAATAAGGGGACTGAGAGGGAAGACTGTTTGGCAAGTAAGCCAAGCAGACTGGAGAGTCCCATGAGGAAGGGAGTGGAAAGCTGCTGGGTTCCACAGAAAGAGCAGAAGTAGGCCCAGTCTGAACTTCTGCTTAATTTTCTCTTTTTGACACCCCAATAACCCCAGCAATATGCATGCAATCAGGAAAAGAAACTAGATGAAAGCTACTGATCAAAGTAAATTCTGGTCATGTGTCCCTGTTCAGCAGCTTCCTATTGACCTTAGGATAAAGTCCAAACTTCTTAGTAAAGCCATTAAGGTCTTTATGATCTGGCCACTACTTATATCTCCAGCTTCATCTCCTACTCTTCTGCTAGGCCACACTTACCCAGTCCCACACCACCCCATTCCCCAACCCTCATCTCTACCCATACTCTCTACCTTGCTTCCCAAATATGTACTCCAGTTACAGTGAACTGCCAGTTCCTAGAGCTCTTCATTCTCTTATCTCCAATTCTTGGCACATGCTGTTCCCTCTGGAACCCTTTCACTTGGGTAACTCTTGTTTATTGTTTGGATTCTAGTGAAGTTACCTCCTCTGGGGAATATTCTTTGGTCCTCTGAGTTCAGTTTAGTTGCCCTTCTTATATGCTACTCAGTTTACTCTGTCATAGGCCATATCAACACTGAACTGTAATCACTGGTTTTTCTAACTCCTCCCACTAGATGGTAAGTTCCCTGAGGGCAGGAATATTAAGTCTTTGTAACTTGCCTACTCCATTTTAAGCACTCAGTAAATGGTTTTAATACTATGTATTCTGCAGAGAACTTTTGCCTTTATGATTTGATTTGCTTCTCATAGCTACCTCGTGAAATGAGCTGGCTTCATTGAGTAAAATTCAATATAAATATATTGATCACCTACTCAGATAAAAAGACTAAAGACTGGTTTTTTTGTTTTTGTGTTTTTTGAAAGCTCACTAGGGCCACCTAAGGAGCTATAATGGGTTGGCTCAGAGAAATTGAGTGACCCTGAATCCCACAAGTAATTGCGGTAGAAACCAGAACCTCATCTTTTGACTTTCTAGTACAGACCTTTCTCCCACTATTCCATACTGTCTCAAAGGCTCTGTTCTAATAAAATGTATTTGAGAAGGGAGAAAACTCAGTAAACAGCATTCCTGTAACTCATTTTAAATCTGCCCATTGAACCACAGGTTCTGAAATTAGAGAAAAATGGCAAAGCTCCAAAATGGAATATCATTACATAGAAGGTCAAAGAAAAATGTTAGGACTATGAGACATGGAAATGAGCTGAGACACAGTAGGAGGGAATCCTCTATCTTGGAGAAAGATCTGAGCAACAGTGACATTTTCAGTTGCCAAAATGTTTTCCTTGGGGCTACCCTCAGAACAGAGTAGCCAAGTGGCATGAGAACAGAACTGGGCAGGGGGAAGGGCAGACACTTGCTAGCCCTCTCCCAACTCTTGGAATTCCTCTGCCACTGACAGGTAAGGCAGAGAAGCTAGAACCTTTAGGGCTGCTTTTCAGCCTTTTTTATCCTCTAGCTTTTGGGAGCTAGAGTGAATTAGTATCACCCAAATCAGCGGACACCTAGTCGGTAGGCAGGGCTGACCACAAGGCTAAGTTCAGAATTATTCCTGTGCCCTGCCTTTGGGCAGAGAAGAGCATAGCCTGGGTTCTCTCACTAGCAGAGATCAGTACATGCTAGCCATACAGGACCCAGACACTCTTTGTCCAGCTCTGTTTTCCCAGTGTCTCCTGGGGAGTGATTCAGGGCCAAGGTGACAGTGGGTTTGGAGCCCAGATGAAAGGATGGCAGGGACCACAAGACAAGATCCCTTGTGTGGTGGCCGGCTGGAAAGAGGAGGGAGTGTGGAGGGAGTGTGGAGGTCAGTGACGCAATTCCCCTGGCTCGCAGGGATGGAGGAGGAGAAGACTCGCGATGTGTCTCCTTATAAAGAGGCCCTTACCACATGAAGCAGGGGCGAAGGTGATCCCACTGTGAGTCACCCAAGAAGGGACGCCGTGTGCCCAGAGCCCAGAAGAGAGGACTTGTGGATTTCCCACTCTTTCCTTCTATGATTTTATGCGTAATATGGGTTGCTTTAGTCATGCAATCTGCACTGCCTCTCTTTCTGTCCTCTGATCCATTCTTCCTCCTTACTCTGTACTGTCTCTGATGTGTATGGGTTTTAAATTTATCAGTTTCTTCTTGATTTCTCTAGGTTTTTTTTTTAATTTCTGAAGTTTGGAATGTATTGATTTAAAGAAACTGAAACCATCCTAATTGTGGTTGCCTTTGAGAAGATGGCCTAGTGGCTCTTCTCCAAGCATGTTGTTCTTAGATCATGTTTGCTTTCCTCCTTATCTTCAACCAAGGCAGATATCATTTCCTGGACTGGAATCTGAAGGGATTCTAGGGGGCCCCTCAGTTGAAGGCTGCTCTGGCCTGGCCTTTATTGAGGTCTGGGACTGCAGAGAGCTTTGGGGAGTGTCCCTGTAATCAGCCAGCCACCAACCCCACACTGCCTTGTAATAAAGCAGCACTATATTTGTTCTGTTTATAGTCTTCTCTGTAATAATGTCACAGCCCTTCTCTCTCTTTGGGGAGATTTTCTGGGTAATAGAAAATTTTGAAATGTTAAAGAGGGTTGTAGACTCAAAAATGTTTTTATGTCTTAAGTTGGGAAGATGCCCAGGAAATGCATGCAGTCCATGGCCTTAGGAAGGAGCGTGTTGTGGTGAGCATGTTGTGTGTGTGTGTGTGTGTGTGTGTGTGTGTGTGTGTGTGTACGCACACGCGCACTGTAGCTGTGAGGACCATATTTGAGAAGGGAGTGTGGGAGAAACTGTGGGTGTGTGCTGTGTGGCTGAAGTTGGTGTGGGGTGCACTGCATTCATGGTGGTGGTGAGTAGAGAGCGTGGTTGGAGTGGGGAGTGTGAGGTATGTAGAAAGGGCCAGTGGAATGATGGAAAACTCTGTTTTGGCAGATTTCAAAACTGTCAGGTATGTTGGATGGTGACAACTACAAGTCTGGTTCCAGAATGGAACTTTCTAAACCTCACGTTCCACTTATTTTCAGCCATGCCCCCTTTCCTCTACTCACCAGTCTTTTCAGGTATAGGTTCCACACAGCTTTGTTGAAGTTTCTTGTTCCTCCTGCCTCTTCCTCCCAGTTCCTCATCTCTTTTTTTGTTAACCAGGAAAAAGTTAGAGACAAATTGCTATGAAGGGAGAGTGAACAGTAAGCCATCTTGATCTGGTTAGTGAAAGCTAGCCTGATGTCCCAGGCTGAAGACTTTGAAGTTTGTCTAGTATGGTGAATGCTGAGAGTTTTTGCCAGGGCTATTCCTAACAATTCTATTCCTCCAATTTCCCTCCTCCTCTCTCTACCTCTGCCCAACCACCCTCCCCAACCCGGATTCTATAAATACTTTATTATATGGCACTAATAAAACTTCAAGTATTTCTTTTTATTAGAGCTACATAATATGGTAATTGTGTGACAGAACACAGCTCCCGTGAGCAGCTCCCACCCTCTTCCTAGGTGTGGCCTCTCACTACCTCAGCTTGGGCTAGGCCCACAGGCCTCTCTTTTCCTCTTGAGTGTGGGTGAAGGGGGCTGGGTCAGCTTTTCAGGCAGAGCTTAGGGGTCAGAGACTTTGAGTAGCATCAAACTAGAGGAGTAAAGAGGTAGTGTTCCAGTTTTAAGTGTATTCTGTCCTGGTTTGTGAATACAGCAGGAATCTTATTATTAGCATTAATTCCAGCCATTACATGGGGCCACTTAACCTGTCTTTCCTTTTTATAGTTCTGTCATTAGTTTTTGAACTTAGACCCAGGGCTAGGGGTATGTGGGTTTCTTTGGTCGACTCTGATTTGCAGTACTTGGTGTTTTGGGGTTATTTGTTTGTTTGCTTTTAATAATGGTCATCATTCTTTCTGATATCTCCTGGACTCAGGATCTGTAGGTGCGAAAAGAATCTGACCTGTTCTGTCTCTTACTGTTTCAATCCTAGAATAATTTTCCTCTTAAGCCTTGGTCATTTCTCTCTGTCCACTAGTGTCAGGGAGGGTATGAGGCTAGAAACTCCACAGTCTATAGATCTTTCATTACTGTTAATGTGTGACATGCAAAATGTCTTTGATGCCTACTTGAGCCTTATGATTTGATTCTGCTTTTTGTCCAATATGATTTGACTTTCAAACTCCACCACCCCCCACCTACCCCGTTGTAGCTATTAAACTAGGTCGGTCAGTGTATCCAGTGTTTTTCTTAATTGAGTATGATTTAGTTTCGATATCCTAACTTCTGCAAAACTTGAGAATTGGGGATTCCTGCCTGGGTAGCAGCTAACAGAGCCCCCAGTGCCAGGGACATAGAATACAATGTTTAGTCCTTTCTTAACTGTCTGTGCCTAGTGTTTGCATTGGGGCCAATCCCCAAACTGGACTCTGCTATCCACTCTTTACTCCCCATGGGGATGTATGGGCATATGCTCTTTCTACCTTTTGGACCTAGCCAAGGTTAATATTAGACCTTCTAGCTGGGCTGCTGTTCCCGAAAACCACAGGGTGTTGTTAATATTCATGTGACCACAGAGCTTCATCAATATTCATGAGGTATCTGCAGTCTCCCTTCAGGCCTTTAGCTTGGAGAAAACAGGAATGATTAGAGTTTCTAGAACTTAAAACTAGCCATATTTCCTGGAGTCTGTTGAGGAGGAGGCAAACCTTAAGAGTGAATGTCTGGGCTAGGAAAAAAAAGGAGTTTTCTGGGCTAGGAAAAAAAGGAGTCGCAAACTGGTCGGACAACTTAGTGGAGTTGTGCTGGATGGCTGTTATTAATGTTATCATCCTCATCCATCATTTATTGAATGCCACTGTGTTTAGATACTTGTACTGGTACTGCAGAGGATAGGAAGCTAGCATTTGTAAGTACTTACTGTACTAGGGGTACAATGATGACTGACATAATTCCTGTCCCAAGAAGCATATGGCTCAGGAGAGACAGACACATACCTATCTTACAAGATAAGAGTGCTGTAATAGAGACAAACAAGAAGTACTGAATGAGACAGATGAGGAAGGCATTCTCTGGTGGGGAAATTAGTGGAGGATTCCCAGGAAGCACTTGAAAGATTTGGTGGATCTAAAGGAAGGAAAGTAAAATTTTCTGTGACTGTTATAACCTTCAACAAGGCATAAATCCCCTATAAATATCCTCGCAGTTTCCCTGCTTACCAACCTTGACTGTTGCTCCCTTTGTCAGATGCTTTAGCTCTGATCTAGTATCTTGTTTTTTTGGTTTTTTTTTTTGAGTTGGAGTCTCATTCTGTCGCCCAGACTGGAGTGCAGTGGACGCTCCCAGCCACCACAGCCTCGACCTGCTGGTATCTTGTTTTAATAGAACTTATTTTCTATAAAGTAGTCTTCTGTTTGTTAAGTGGGAAATTTTGCCTTCCTTTTTTTTCCTGAAAGATTTAACTGGTAAGAGCTCCCAATTGTGATATAGTCCTTGGCATAGTTTGGGTATTTTTTAAAAAGATAAGTGTAATTAAAAATAGCATGAGAACCCCAGCCCCCCCCCCCATTGTACTTATATTTAGTTGAGCTCTTAGGATTTTGGTATTGTGTTTGAAAGATGCAAGTGCCCGTACAATAATCAGGACAATATTAAAAGGGATGAACATAGAACAAACTTGAAAAAAATCTAAGGACAATGGAATTACTTAATTCAAAGAGTAGACTGAATGGTAATTTATTCTTTTAAATGTGAAAAATTAGCATAAGTAGGATGGTAAATAGCTTTTCTGCATTTCATTCAAGATAATGCAAGAAGAGATAGACTTGAATTAGAGCAATAGGGATGTGGTTGAAGCAAAAATAATACTTAAAAAAAAAATCTGACTAGAATATGTTTCTAGTTTCTAGGTTTGGAAACTTCTTTCCTAGAATTTTTAAAGATTTTTTTCCTAGTGACCAGTGTAGTGTAGTCCTGCCTGGGAAAAAATAAACAGGATTCTATGACTGATTCTCTATCCCCCTCTATTTATTGGCTTATCCTAGGGCCTGTCAGAAACCTTTCTGTCTTCTACAAGGTGGCAGTTATACTTGACGGAGCCCTATGTATTTCCTGAATTGATATTTGGGAAAATACCTGCATATAATTTAAGCTATCAATCCTAGATATTGAATAAATATCACCTCTCCTTCATTCTTTCTGCTACAGACCTATAAATCTTGAGTCTGAGGAAGCAGACCTTGGAAGCTGGCACATAGTTCCTAGAGTTAGGTCCAGGAATGAATTTTAGGAAAAATAAACTTAGCTGGAAAGAATAATATCAACAATTCTTATTATATACCCATCCACTGCCCCCTACTCTATACATCCTTCCTCTCATATTTCTTCATTTTATCGTCAGTCTTTTCAAATCTGTTTATATTTTTGTCTTGATATTTGCTGTTCACAGGGCATTCTTTAAAGATAATGATAAATTTCTACACTACCTTAATGAGTCAGATAAAGGATGCTAGAATGTAGCTTCCATGAGAGTACAAATCTTGTATGACTTATTCATCACAGTACCTTTAGTTCATGTCTAGTATATAATAGGTGATACAGAAATATTTGTTAAATCAGTGAACACATATCTTCATTTGTGAGATGAACTGACTTCTCAACGAACTTACTACAAACTAGAATGGTTGTCCAGTTCAAGACCAGCCTGGGCAACATAGCAGTGAGACCCTATCTCTACAAAAACTAAAAAAATTAGCTGGGTATGTCAGCTCTCATCTGTAGTCCCAGCTATTCAGAAGTCTGAGGTAGGGGGATTTCTTGAGTCCAGGAGTTTGAGACTGTAGTGAGCTATGATTATGCCACTG